CTAGAATCCCGGGATTTGTAAATTACACAGGAGGCAATAATAGAAACGCTTTATGTTGAACAGTTTTGGCTATATTTCTTTTGTTTATTTAATATTTAACACTTTTTTATAAATGTGTAGCTCAATATACATATAACACCTTGCGGCAGGCAATTTTGCACACACAAAAAAAAAATATTCGCCAAACTAAGGGACCAAATATAGTAAAATTGCGTTCTTAATTTTTCTCTCTGGCGTCAGGGTTTTTTTAAAAGAACTTTGAAATTTGAAAGATGTGAGCGTGTGAATTAAAAAAATTATTTAAAAATTTCGGTGCAATATACTTAAAAAACCCAGTATGGTTATCAAATGAAGGAGAAGATTCTGTAGAGTTAAAATACATTACATTTGTTGGTGCGTAAGAGACAGGTAGGTATTGAAAAAACCCTATTATAATTTTATCCTCGTATATCCTTGAAATTTTTCAATTCTTGTTTTTGAAAAAATTATATTACTTATAATTTTATTAGCTTAAAAAAATAAAATAAATTAATGGGACATTTTCAATTCCTATTCGTCCTTGTTAACTCAAAAAAAAAATATTTCATTTGGTATCCATACTGTGGCGAATACTGCGGCAACAAAAAGCGAACAACGAGAAATAGGTAGAATGTCAAGTTGGATGAACACTGCGAACAGCGAGAGAAAGAGAATGAGCGATAAACTTCAGAATGTTCTAGAGTTGCCATAAGTGCCAGCGCAAGTATATAAGGGCGCCGCCACAGCGAAGTGAGTTAGTTACGAGTTACAAGTCAGCAAGCTACAAGTAAAGTGAGCGGAGAAGTGAGTTGCGAATAAGCAAGCTATAAGTTTAATTGTGTTAACAAGTAGTAAAGCGTTGTTATTGCTTCAACAAGTATTGTAAAGTGTTTTTACTGTATTAGCAAGTATTGTAAATTGTTTGATGTACAATAAAGTTAATTGTACTACAATTTGGTCATCGTTAGCATTTATTTAACAGTCCAGCGATACGAGCCCGAGTATATTTGGGAAATACGTTAACAAAAAATATACAACCACTCTTGAAATGTGTTCAAAAGAATAGGTCTTATTAATTAACTATTTAGAATTTTTGTGTTTGTATTGCAGGTGCCGAAAAAGTGATAATATCTTGTCGCAGCGCATGTTTTCCTGCAGAAAGTGGTCGATGCTTGCTTACCTCCGATTTTAATTTGTAATTTGTGGTATTTCAACGTTTTCAACTTAACATGTCGTGTTTAAAAGTGGTCCGTAAAGTGCTTCATGCATATTACGCTGGTGTCTAAATTGTACGGCTTCTCCTGCCGACAGAACTCTCGCCACTTTCTGGCCAAGGCGTCGTCGCGGGGAAACAAAAAAAAAATGCATTTGGGGGCTTTACCCCTACGGCTGCTGCAATTCAACGCATGACACGACATGTTTATAAAGTTTTTATTACAAATAAATTGTTTTTTACTTCAGAACGCACGAATTACTTCGATTTTTCACTTGAAAGTACACAATACGTTTGCACTTGTTTCTAAACAAAAAGTTTTTTTACGTATTGCCATAAATGTCAAAGTCGGCAAAACCAAAGTAGCGGTTTCGGGAATGCGCCACCTTCAGTTCATTTCACCATGGGATTTCCCAAATATACTCGGGCTCGTATCGCTGGACTGTTAAATAAATGCTAACGATGACCAAATTGTAGTACAATTAACTTTATTGTACATCAAACAATTTACAATACTTGCTAATACAGTAAAAACACTTTACAATACTTGTTGAAGCAATAACAACGCTTTACTACTTGTTAACACAATTAAACTTATAGCTTGCTTATTCGCAACTCACTTCTCCGCTCACTTTACTTGTAGCTTGCTGACTTGTAACTCGTAACTAACTCACTTCGCTGTGGCGGCGCCCTTATATACTTGCGCTGGCACTTATGGCAACTCTAGAACATTCTGAAGTTTATCGCTCATTCTCTTTCTCTCGCTGTTCGCAGTGTTCATCCAACTTGACATTCTACCTATTTCTCGTTGTTCGCTTTTTGTTGCCGCAGTATTCGCCACAGTATGGATACCAAATGAAATATTTTTTTTTTGAGTTAACAAGGACGAATAGGAATTGAAAATGTCCCATTAATTTATTTTATTTTTTTAAGCTAATAAAATTATAAGTAATATAATTTTTTCAAAAACAAGAATTGAAAAATTTCAAGGATATACGAGGATAAAATTATAATAGGGTTTTTTCAATACCTACCTGTCTCTTACGCACCAACAAATGTAATGTATTTTAACTCTACAGAATCTTCTCCTTCATTTGATAACCATACTGGGTTTTTTAAGTATATTGCACCGAAATTTTTAAATAATTTTTTTAATTCACACGCTCACATCTTTCAAATTTCAAAGTTCTTTTAAAAAAACCCTGACGCCAGAGAGAAAAATTAAGAACGCAATTTTACTATATTTGGCCCTTAGTTTGGCGAATATTTTTTTTTTGTGTGTGCAAAATTGCCTGCCGCAAGGTGTTATATGTATATTGAGCTACACATTTATAAAAAAGTGTTAAATATTAAATAAACAAAAGAAATATAGCCAAAACTGTTCAACATAAAGCGTTTCTATTATTGCCTCCTGTGTAATTTACAAATCCCGGGATTCTAGGCAAATAATACCGGGATTTTCAAGACTTAAAACATTCCTAGTACTCACAGAGAACGATTATCAGGCGCGCAATCGCCGGCAGAAAAAACACCAAGGCAGCATAGCAAAAGCGACAGAGAAGCTCTGCAGGTAGATAAAACCCAAGGCGAATCTATACAAGGTGGTGTTATCGGATCCGCTGATTTCACGGCGAATTTGTATCTTTTGTCAAAATGATGTGTTTGTTGTAATTTTGTTTTGTACTGATTGTCAATGTGCGTATAGTTTGTTACTGTAATTTTTGTTTTTGTTCTGTTAACACCACCTTGTATAAATTCGCCTTGATACAACCCTTTAGAACAGCCACCTGCAATGCAACAGCTATTCATAACCACTCCGTTGCTCAGTTGTACTCAGCGTATAAGCAGCCGCTTGTTGATGTTCACTTAACGACCGCTCAGCAGCGCAGCGGCAAGCCGCTTCTGAAAAACTTTAATTACATTTTCTCGCAATTCAGATTTCCTTGTAATTTTCACGCTAAATAACTTTTTTATTTAACGAAAGAACCCTTATTATTTTCTGACATTTAATGCAGAGCTAATATGATAAAAAAAAATTTATTTGAATATTTCAGTAGTACAATATGAAACAAGTAGGAAAGTCTAAGTTCGCAGCCGAACATTAAATAGCCGGCGCAAGTATTAAATATATGTTTTTTCACCTTTCCGAAAGCTACCGCTAGATGGTAAGCCCGGGTGTATCAATTTTGAGTAAATTAGCGTCCTTAAATTTCGAATTATTGAAGTTTCAAGCATTTTTGAAATTTACCGTTATATAAAAAGCGGCCGTAATTTTAGTCCGATTTCAATAATTTTCAACGTTTTGCTTTATTTGGCAAGCACAATAAAAATACCGAGTTTGGTACAAATTGGTAGAACGGTTACCGATATACATACATGTGATCATAAGTGGGCGGCGCCACGCCCACTTTCCAAAATTTTACCATAAACGTATATCTTGGTAAAGAATTGTTGCAAGCAACAATTTTGAATAAATTAGCTTTAATATTTACTGATTTATCGAAGATTTTATATTTCTCTAAATTACCGTTACATGGGATGTGGGCGTGGTTATTGTCCGATTTTTTAAATTTTCGGCCATTTAGTATGCTGTACCAAGGTCAACAACTGTGCCAAGTTTGGAAGAAATTTGTACAGCGGTTACCAAGATATACACATGTAACCATAAGTGGGCGTGGCTACGCCCATTTTTCAAAAATTTATTATATTCTTATTTCTCGTCTAAAAGTTGTTGTAAATATCATATTTGAGTGAATAACCTTCAGTAGTTTGTAAAATATCGCAGTTTTCGTATTTCCGAAAATTACCATTATATGGGATGTGGGCGTAGTTATTGTCCTATTTTTAAAATTTTCGGCCATTTAGTATGCTGTATCAAGGCCAACAACTGTGCCAAGGTTGGAAGAAATTGGTGCAGCGGTTACCAAGATATACACATGTAACCATAAGTGGGCGTGGCTACGCCCATTTTCAATGCTCAGAATGAATAGAGAAATCGATTAAGCCATGTCTGTCCGTTTGTCCGTCCGTCCGTGTACACGATAACTCGAGCAAAAATTCAGATATCTCAACGAAATTTGGTATGTAGGTTTCTGTTAATCCAAGGTAGGTTGGTATTAAAAATGGGCGAAATCGGACAGTAACCACGCCCACTTCCCATATAACGGTAATTTCCAGAAATACGAAAACTGCGATATTTTAGTAACTACTGAAGATAATTCACTCAAAATTGATA